TTATGGACACGAAGTGATGGGCTGAAGAGAGAGGATTAGGGGTGGTGCCCGGAGCTGCTACGGTGGCGGTGGTGACCGTACGCTCGGAGGAGTTGGTCGACATCGGTGTATGGGGAGAGAGAATAGAGAGACCTAACACTAAATTGATACCAGATGTGAGAGATAGAATTTCAGTTGTATTGAATGTGTGCAATTATGTGGACTGTTTTGTGCACTTAGTATAATACAAGTGCACATACCCACTACACCGTGTGCACATATGTGATACGTGGTGGTGTGCACTGCATAACAATGACAAAAACTAACAAAAAAAAAAACGAAACCCAAAAAAAAAAACAAAAAAACAAAACAAAACAAAACAAAATAAAAAACGCTATGTTTATTAATTTTTCTTCAACTTATTCTTGGCTTCTGTTATTGCATTCTTCAATTGCGGGCCATTCCAAGTTTTAACACCAAATATATTTTACAAAGTTGAAGGAAAAAATATTTAACGAACAAATTAAAGAAATAAAAAAAAATGATGGTGAGATTTATGGTATTATTGGCTTCTATACGTTATTTACATTCTTGTTATGCATGTAATCTAACTCTATAATAAAGCAACAACTTCCTACCCACAAAAATCTCCCGCCCACCTAAAACGACGCCGTTTGGTCTATTAGTTGTTGCCTATTGCGTTTTGCCCGCCCACGTTAAACGATGCCGTTTGCTTGCATGTGTAACCCAAAGTCGGCGAATTAATGATATCTTTTAAACGTTGTAGTTTCAAAACGTTATCTTACCTATGCGTTGGACTGCTGAGAACATCAAAGGTTTTTTTAAACGTTTCTAATTAAACTTTTCTAATTACAGCCCCAATCATATATATATATATATATATATATATATATATATATATATATATATATATATATATATATATATATATATAGGGTTGAGTTCAAATGAGGACAACAATATATAGAGGACTGTGAGGACAAATAATGGGCACACAACAAATTAATACCAGGCACACAACTTAATACATAATTGCACACAAGAATAAATGTAAACATCAGGTTTCGAACCCAGGCTCTATAAATTAACAAATCTAGCACGCGACATACAAACTGTGGCACACGACTACATTCGGCCATGCACACGACATACCGGCTAGTGGCACACACTACATCTGTCCTCATAGTCCTCTATAATATACTTGTCCTCATTTGAATACACACACACACACACACACACACACACACACACACACACACACACACACACACACACACACACACACACACACACACACATATATATATATATATATATATATATATATATATATGATAGACATATTTTACACTCATATTTTAGGTATATTTTTATAATAATTTTACATTAATTATTTAATGTTATCTAATAATTAGTTCTTTTTATATAATATATAATCTATTCTTATATAATATATAATATATAATAAGAATACATACTAAGTACTAGTATTAATATATATGCATTATAAATAAATATATATATATTATTAATATATAAATGGTCCAACAGAGATGCAAAATGAATTGAATGTTTCAATTCATGCGTGCAAGCAAATGATGGAAGACTTCGTTGCTTGTGGCGGATGGATTCAGACGAGAGGCTGAAAAATAGGAAAAAGGAATGGTAGAAAATGATTTGGAAATTATATAAATAGTGAAGGTTTTCTATTGTAAAATGTTCATTCTTTCCCTCTTGATTATTCTGTAAAGCTGTTATCAATGTCCATTCATTGCTAATTTCTTTAGCTTGGTTTAGTGAATAGAAGCCCCGGAATTGATTATGCTGTAAGATTATTTATTTATTTTATTATATAATTTTTATGCATTTGGGTATTAAATATTCTTCTAACCTATTTGATATAATTCTTTGCTATATTAGATAATGTTGTGCTACAAATTATTCTAATATTCAGTAGCAACTGAGGTTAATTATTGACGGCTTAGTGATAATTGATTTCAGGGAGAATATTTTCCTAAATTAAATGCAACCGCTTGTGCTTGTGTTATTTAGTTTGTCGGTTTTCCTAGTTCCTATTGCTGCTATTAAATTAAATCTATAGCGCTTGTCTTAGGTTATTTAGTAGTTAGGGGTAATTAAACCGCGTGTGCTTTAGTTACCTACAACTAAGGGAAAACGGAAATGAAATAATTTCACGACAAATATTCAATTGTATATCAATTACCTTTTTGAGTCAATGATCAGTGTTAAATTCCGGTGGTGGATCTTTGCTAACCAAGGTTTTCTATTCTGAGTGTTTTCAATATATTGTTTTCATTGCTTTATTCGTTTATTTACTTTGATTATCACCTTCATACCAAATCCCCATTTACTTTAATTTGAACACATACATTAAACTAGTTACTCCCCGTGGGATCGATCCTTACTCCCGCTACTACGTTTGTAAGGTTTTAATTTGGGAGCCTACGACAGCTCACCAATATATATATATATATATATATATATATATATATATATATATATATATATATATATATATATATATATATATATATATATATATATATATAGGGTTGAGTTCAAATGAGGACAACAATATATAGAGGACTGTGAGGACAAATAATGGGCACACAACAAATTAATACCAGGCACACAACTTAATACATAATGGCACACAAGAATAAATGTAAACATCAGGTTTCGAACCCAAGCTCTATAAATTAACAAATCTAGCACGCGACATACAAACTGTTGCACAGGACTACATTCGGTCATGCACACGACTTACCGGCTAATGGCACACACTACATCTGTCCTCACAATCCTCTATAATATACTTGTTCTCATTTGAACACACACACACACACACACACACACATATATATATATATATATATGTATATATATATATATATATATATATATATATATATATATATATATATATATATATATATATATATGTATGTATATATATTGGTAGGGAATATCCCGACCGACATAGCTTCACCACGACCGAGGAGTCTCTCTTTCTCCTTGTCTTTGCAGGTAACAGGTCGGGCTCCATGAGAAGAACCCGGTCGTAGACCGACCGGTGCTGCCCGAGCGACGATGTCGACCACCGAGCGGTAGCCCTTTGGCGAAAGAGCTGACGAAGGACACGTGGCGGCTCTTTACATCGACAGGCAGGGCACCCGGGAGGATGACACGTGGTGGCTACGTGGAGGACATGCCGAACGGCTGGAATCCTGTCCCCGGCATAGCGGCTATAAATACCCACAGTAGCTACAGTGTAAGGGACTTTTGGACGATCGATAGGTTGTTGTTAGAGAATCCCGACCGCAGTCAGTCGGTACTCAGAGCAGCCAAGTAGATTGTACTTAGGGCCTTTACCGGTACGCCAGCTTATACAGCTCCAGCCGCCGCCCCTCCAGTACAACCGACCGCACAAGTAGAGCCGCAGCGTCAGTCCACTTCCCGGGCTCGACGCTCGGCTCATTCGCGGTTGGGGTCGGGGGGTGCTGATGCGATGGAGGCACCAGCTCAGGCCGTTCAAGCGGAGGACCCTGAAGAGGTTGCCCGAGCGGTAGCTTTCGATCGTCTCCGACCAGAGATGCGCCAGCGTCTGGGGCCCCAAGACCCGAATCGCGGGCAAGAGGACGTACAAATGCAGGAAGCTAGCCACGAGGCTTCATCCGGGTATAGCGGGTCGAGATCTCATCGACGTCGACGCGCTCGGGATACAGCCCAAGCCGCTCAAGCCGCCGAGCTCAACGAAACCCGAGGATTGCTCTACAACCTCCAGGCGGAAGTTGCGCAGCTCAGGAGTGCGTATCCTACAGCACCCCCGGCCGACCGATCGACCCTACACCAGACGCCTTTCACAGCAGCGGTAATGGCCCAGCCTTACCCGCTCGACTTGAAGGTCTCGGGAGAGAAAAGTTACGACGGTCGGACGGACCCTGAGGCTCACGTGAATGATTTCTTCAGCAATATGATGCTGAAGGGCGTTTCAGACGCCGTAATGTGCAGGGCCTTCTACTCAACGCTCACCGGTCAGGCGGCAGAATGGTTCCGAACCCTGCAGCCGGGGTCAATCGACAAATTTGAGACCCTGGCGATCAAGTTTGTACGGAAGTTCATTACTTCCAAAGTGGTGAGGAAGTCCTATATGTACCTCGAAAAGGCCAAGCAGCTCGAGGGGGAAAGCTTGACCGACTTCCTCATCAAGTGGAAGGCAGCAGTCGGGGAGGTCGAGCCCATGGATGATGCGACCGCCACTCACATGCTTCACATCTCCCTCCGGGCGGGGTATCTATACCAGGATTTTATCCTCCACCCCCCGACCACATATGAGGAGGCCCTCCGAAGGGTCACTGATTACGCCAACGCAGGTGAGGCGAATGCCGTCAAGCGCTTGCAGGAGGTCGGCTCTTCGTCCCGTAAACCAGCCGGCCGGGCGGAACATCGGTCGGGAGATGACCATCCCCGATCCCGCACCAGGCCTGGCGAGTTTACGGCCTTAAACCGATCCGCAGCGGAGGCCATGCAATACGCCCAGTCCTGCAATCTCATCAAACTTCCCCATCCCGATCGAGACGGCCCTGACAAGAGTAAGCACTGTGCTTACCATCGGTGCGCCGGGCATGACACCGAGGAGTGTACCCACTTGCGCCAATTATTGGAAGATTTGCTCAATTTGGGAAAATTGGACAAGTGTGTGGGAAAGAGAGAAGACAGCAAGAGAAATACCGATCGGAGGGATCACAGACGATCTCATCACCGCTCTGATCGGTCGGGCCAGGACCGAAGAGACGATCGAAGGGACGATCGTCATGATGACCGACGGGACCCTGACCCTCCGTCCAGTAGCCGCCCGTCCGGAAAACCAACCATCCACGTCATTTTTGGTGGGCTGGAAGATGCTTCCCGACCGCGGACTAATTGCCCGGTCGCAATAGTAGATTCCCGGGGAACCGGGAAGAGGCAGAAGATGGAACCCATAACCTTCACCCTTGAGGACCAACCTAGCACCAGCGACCACGGTATGGAGGCGCTCGTGGTCACGATCGACGTTAAGGGGACGGACGTCCAAAGGGTTATGGTTGACACGGGCAGTAGCGTGAACGTCCTATACTTGGACGTGTTTGAGAAGCTTGGCCTTGACAGGAAGGAGCTGACTCCGGTCGGTGTACCACTGTCAGGATTTACCGGGGCTCTTATCTACCCCGAGGGAAAAATAACGCTCCCGGTTGAGATCGGCACGCCTCCAAAGTCGATCCAAACGGAGCTGGAATTTGTTGTGGTCAACCTCCATTGCGTCCACAACATTATCTTGGGCCGACCCGCCATTATGAAGATCGGTGGGATAATTTCTATGCCTCACCTATGCATGAAATTCCCCACCCCCAACGGGGTCGGCGTGGTCCGTGGCGATGTCCAATCCGCCCGGAAGTGTTACACCCGAGCGGTCAATAGACGAGATTCCGGTCCATCTTCCCGGGTGAACACCATAGCCAAGGAGGAGGCTAAGGAACAGAAGGAGCAGCCTGAGCCTTCCGAAGAGATAGAAGAAATTCCCCTGTCCGAGGACCGCCCGGACAGGAAGATAAAGATTGGACGAGCCCTCACTCCCGAGCTCCGAGCGGAAGTTCTGGCCGTGCTCCGGGAGTACGCCGATATTTTTGCATGGGGGCCTGAAGACATGCCCGGGATCGATCGGTCGGTCATCTGTCACAAATTGGCCGTCGATCCCGCAGCTAAGCCGGTCGTGCAAAAGACACGACACCTCTCCTCCGATCGCCGCGAGTTTGTAAGAGAAGAAGTCAAAAAGATGGCGGCGATCGAGCACATCCGTCCGGTGGTCTATCCTGAGTGGGTGGCAAATATTGTTCTTGTACCTAAGCCCCCAGCATGGAGGATGTGCATCGACTTTACGGACCTCAACAAAGCCTGTCCGCTCGACCCGTATCCTCTACCGAGCATTCATCAGATGGTCGACGAGACGGCTGGGGCCGAGTTAATGAGCTTCATGGATGCCTTTAAGGGATACCATCAGATCATGATGCACCATGAAGACGAGAGCAAGACAGCCTTCATAACCCCGGATGGGCTGTATTGTTACCGAGTGATGCCGTTCGGCCTCCGAAACGCAGGAGCGACCTACCAAAGGATGGTCAACATGCTCTTTGCTGATTTGCTGGGCCGAACGATGGAAGCTTACATTGACGATATGTTGGTCAAGAGTCGGGACCGATCCGACCACACTCGGGACCTTCGGGAGTGCTTCCAGATCATGAGGAAGTACCAGTTGCGGCTGAACCCGACCAAGTGTACATTCGCGGTTCAGACCGGCAAGTTCCTCGGCTATATGATGACCAAGAGAGGAATCGAGCCCAACCCGGCCAAAGTAAAAGCGATTCTGGACATGCAGCCACCTTCCACCGTTCGGGAGGTCCAGCAATTGACCGGTCGGTTGGCAGCCCTCAGCCGGTTCCTCTCCAAGCTAGCCGAGCGCGCTTTACCTTTCTTCAAGGTATTGCGGAAGGTTAATGGATTCATCTGGGACGAAGAATGCCGAGCGGCTTTTGACGAGCTGAAGGAGTATCTCATGTCACCGATCGTGCTCTCAAAGCCCGAGCACGGAGAAGAGCTAGACGTGTACCTCGCCGTGTCCGATCGTGTAGTAAGCGCAGTGTTGTGCCGAACCGATCCGGAAGGGGTCCAGCGACCGGTGTACTATGTAAGCCACGCGCTACATGGTCCCGAGCTCCGGTATTCCCGGCTAGAGAAGGTCGTCTATGCCCTATACATTGCTGCAAAGAAATTGGCTCCCTATTTCCAAGGTCGAGCAATTCGCGTGTTGACCGATCAGCCGATCGGGCCAGTCCTCCGAACTGCTTCATCATCAGGTCGCCTAGTCAAATGGGCGTTAATGTTGACCCAGTACGCGATCGAATACCGACCAAGACCGGCTATTAAAGGTCAAGCTCTTGCGGATTTCTTGGTTGAGTGCACCGCCCGGGATACCCGGCCTCCTGAGGTTGCGGATCCCGAGGCTGAGTGGTGGTCGCTGGCTACAGATGGGTCGAGTAGCAAAAAAGGGGCAGGAGGAGGAGTAGTAGTCACGAGCCCAGAAGGATTCAAAGTCTATTTTGCTCTCATGTATCAGTTCCACCCGACCAACAACGAGGCCGAGTACGAAGCGTTCGTTAACGGCTTGCAGTGCGCTCGGGACTTGGGGGCTGAATACATTCGAGCTCAGACAGATTCCGCGCTCGTGGTCGGGCAAGTCCTTGGGGACTATGAAGTCAATGGTGAGCGTTTGCAGTTGTACCGAGACCTTGCCATGGAAAAGCTCGCTCAGTTCCGGGGGTATACCGTCCGACACATACCCCGGTTGGATAACGCCGATGCGGATATCTTATCTAAACTGGCCCAAGACGCCCCGGAGCACATTTCGAAGATAGCTCGGATCTTGGTGATCCCCAGACACAGTATTCACCGTCTACCGGTCAATCCCAACCAACCGGTAGATGACAATTGGATCACCGATCTGAAGGAGTATCTCGAGCACGATCGCCTCCCCGACGACCCGCAGCGTGCTCGGAAGGCCAAGCTAAGAGCCCCAAGGTTCCAAGTCTTGGACGATCGTCTGTATAGGCGATCGTATGGAGGCCCCCTCATGCGTTGCTTGACCGCATTTGAGGCTGAGTTGGTCATGAAGGAGCTACACTCGGGAATTTGCTCTTCCCATCAAGGAGGTCGATCCCTGGCCCGTCGTATCATGTTGATCGGGTACTATTGGCCATCCCTCCAGCTGGACTGTGAAAAGTTAGCTCGGGGATGTGAGACGTGCCAACTGTACGCCCGGATGCCTGGCCGACCGGCCACGTTTTACCAGCCAGTCACGACCGCAATTCCTTTCGCTAGGTGGGGGGTAGATATCTTGGGCCCCTTCCCTCAACTCTCCGGTCGGAGAAAGTTCGTGATCGTCGCCATAGATTACTTCTCCAAGTGGATAGAAGCCGAGCCTTTAGCCACGATCACATCTCAGCAATGTGCTCGCTTCCTTTAGCGCAATGTCATTTCCCGTTTTGGCGCGCCCGTGCATCTCATTAGCGACAACGGTCGCCAGTTTGTGAGCCAATACTTCCAGAATTTCTTGGCCACGATCGGGACGACTCATGTCCGGTCGTCGGTCGCTTACCCACAGGGAAATGGACAAGTGGAGAATGCTAACCGGACGATAGTGGAAGGTCTGAAAAAGAAGTTACACTCGGCCGGTCGTAGTTGGGCCGATGAGTTGCCATATGTTTTATGGACTTATCGGACGACCCCGAGGGAAGCTACTTTGGAGACCCCTTTCGCCCTGGTTTACGGAGCTGAGGCCCGACTTCCGATCGAGGCCTGGATTCTGACCGATCGAGAGAGAACCTATAATGCAGAAGAGAACGAGCACGCGATGGCCGTGGACCTTGATGGGATCGAAGAAAAACGAGAGCTAGCCGCTCGACGCATAGCCGAGTATCAGAAGCGCGTCAAGAGTTCTAAAGATGTTCGGGTCAACCCTCGTTATTTTCAAGTCGGAGACTACGTTCTACGACGAAGGGAGGCCAGCCAACCTCTAGAGGGCGGAAAGCTAGCTCAGAACTGGGAAGGGCCGTACATCATCAACGCTGTCATACGGCCGGGTACATACCGACTAGAGACAACGACTGGTCGGCTAATCGAGGGGACGTGGAATTCCGAGCACCTCGTTCTTTTTAGGCATTAGCCTATTCTTTGTATTTTCTAGACGAAGTGGGGGCTTGACCTGCGAGTTACTCCCGGTCGTCAGTTCTATGTAAATTTGTGGTTGTAAAATTAATTCAACCGCCTGCGAGCGGGAAAGTTTAATGTATATACGATCGATGATTGCCCGACCGTTTGTATGCGGCGGCCCGATCGGTTATTTTCTTTCACCTTCGTTACATGCAGGTCAGTTCAACATTCATCAACCGGGCGAAATCTATCGACCGGTCAAAACGCGCTCCACATTGGCGGACACTCAAGTCACGCCGATGATCGGGGAAGCCAGGAGCTCTCAGCATTATCCCCCGATCCGTTCAACTTCTGTCCACTATTGCACCCACTCGTGCCTCGAGCGCACAATAGTGTGGGGGCTGGGATAAGGAAGTATTCGCAGGCCCGTCGCTCGGTTACATCCCGACCGTAGAGGCTTGTTAAGGAAGTATTCGCAGGCCCGTCGCTCGGTTACATCCCGACAGTAGAGGCTTGTTTCCAAAAATTTTTCGACAAAGGCCCGGGATCGGGTACACCCGATCGGTTGGCCAGATTTGACGTCGTAATATCAAACGCACGACCAGGCCATAAGGTCGTAAGGTCGGGCGTCGAGTGGGTCGAACCAGTGCAAGATCGGGCCACAAGGCCGCGAGGTCGAGCATTAAGGATCAGCACTTACGCGATTAAAGATAAAAGTGCGAAAAGAAAAAACGAGCGACGCAAGATAGAACAAAAAATAAATTTCATTAACAAACAAAAAGTTGCCCGGTACAATTCGGGACCGGGCTCCCGATCAATGGTCCTTTACAAAAAAGAAGAAGAAGAAAGGAGCCTATTCTACTTCTTCATCTCCCGAGCTCCGGCAGCCGGTTCCTTTCCGCTCGGGGTGGCCGCCGTTGATGCCCCGGCTTCAGACGCCTTGGCTTTTGGGGCGAAGGGAGAGGGACCGGGATCGGCTAGGTCCGGGGGCAATACTGAGAGGACCAGCTGAAGGTCTTCCCCGTCTAGAGCCTGCTCCAACCGGGAACGGACTCGTTCGAGCATCTTCCGCTTCCCGGCCGTAAAGCCCCAGCGACCGAACGAGACGATCAGCTCTTCCCCGATCTCTGTTCCCCGGGCTGCTGTAAGGAAGGCCGAGCCCGAGTCCTTGTCTTTGAAGGCTGCCCGCGCCAGCTCGCTCGGATTCTCGAGCTGAGCCTTCAGCTCTTTGGCCTCTCGAATCGCCCGA